GGGCATCGGTTTGGATCCTAATAGAGGCCACCTTAAGACGGAGTCATTACAGTCTGACTCTTTCAGTCCACGAGTCAGCCACCCCGCATACACTGAGCTGACTTTAGGGTTTGATTTATGCCTATTGGACAACATAACTGCACACGCGTATGCGAACGATGATACTGTTTGTTTCGGTGCATAAACACACATGAAGAAAGGGAAGAGGTTCTTCGGGAAATTTAAGATACACTTGTGAATTTACGAGCTGGTGACACTAGCTCGTCCTCAGACAAAACGAATGGACGTGAGAAAGTAAGAAAGTTACATTAGATAATATAGGCGACATGCAAGGGGGTGGGCGTGGGGGCTCCGTCTGCGGAGGGGCAGGTCGGATGGCCGGTCGGTTGATGTGAGGATGGCTGGGTTAGCGGTCGCTGGGGTCTGATTAGGACAGGGGATGTTAATTTTTGACCTCAAGCCACTGAATTGATCGTTCAGATCAAAATGGCGGTTGATACTGCCCGCGATAGGAAACCAAGCCTGGAGGAATTCTCGCACTGGCTTTGTGTTGGCCATGGCGACAATTTCAGTGTCATCTCACACATGCAAACAGTTCGATCGGCGTAAAAGACCACGTGCCCCACAGCGTGGTTGACGCAGGGCGGTGTCTTGCACAGCATAAACCGCAGCAACTCCTCCCTCAGTATAATGGACCTAGTGGCCAGAGCAAGAAATGTGACCGGTAGTGGGCAAAGTTAAACAGCTTGTCTACGCGCGCTACACGCGAGCTGATCAGCACACAATGGGCCAGGATTTAACAAAAAACGATGGAAAAAATGAGGACATTCAAATACTCGTCTTAAAGGAAAGTTTTGTAAGTTTTCGAAAGTGAAACTGGCCACTGAAGCAAGGTCCTCCAAGGAAATGTGTTCTGAAGAAGATTATGCCATCACTGGAACAAGACTTTTATCTTCCTGACGTTTTGCAGTCTGTCGGAAATCTTTAATCATAGGTAACCGTAGGATAGTGTGAGATATGCGCAGATATGCGCATGCACCGATTGCACGGTATTTATGGTTCGTAGCTGTCATGGCATGCATACTATAATTATCGGCTGCTGTATCAACCGCTTGGGGTCTTGATTTGTGCGGCGATCGCTTGACACTTCGCTTTCGACTCATTAATTGTCACGATTTCATTGTCCGTGTCAGATGTGGGCTTAATAATTGCGCGACAATTATGTTCGCTGTCGTCGGATTTGTTACTAGGCCAGCTCCTTCCCACGTGACTGATTCTCTTGCTTAGGCAGTATGGGAACGGCAAATCGTTGCACTTGTTAGTGGACTGTGGGCCTGAGAACTACGACTCGAGCAGCTCGCGGCTCACGTAGTTATCACCTCTTGCGAGGATTCTGGTCACGTTACACTTGAAAATATGGTCGGGTCCCGTTAAGTGAGCTGTAACCTGGGAGTTAGCGTCTTTCTTCCCCACCATCGCTGCGTGCTCGGCCATTCGCGTCCGGAGTAATCTCCCAGTTTTTCAGACGTAGTCGCTTTGTCCACAACTGCACCAGATCCGCTAGACGAATCCAACCGTCTTCTGCCGTGGCAGTGGGTATTTCGGTCTCATGACATGGCGCCTGATGGTTGCTTCTGGCCTGTGCGCAACCGTGCTTTGTTTCTTATGCAGCTGACACGAGGTCATCAGACAGTGGGGTTGCACAGAGCTTAAACAAAACCAATTGAGTGGAGTGCCTCAGTATTTTCGCGAAATATGGGATGCAAGCCGATCACTCATGCTCGAAGGAGAAGAGTTGGTAATGATAGTTAACCGCCCGAAAAAAGAAGAGGAAGAAGGCAGTTAAATCCCCGGAATAATTTGTTTATTAATCTGAGTTTGGAACAAGAGAAGCCTGTGATGAGAACTCAGTCAATCGATATATGGATGTGGAACTGCGCAGTCACTTCCAGAATGATTTTATCAATGCTTGATTGGCTCCAACTCCTTATAACTGTTGCTAGTTTTGTTGCTGCTTTTATCCCAGACGATGAACTCAGCAAGAGTTCAAAGTCTCACAGGAATGAAGAAATTATTTCGGCGATGATATTTCATTTCCTGTTTATGATATTTGTCGCATCGAGTAGACCCAGAGAGGGGCAGATGAACTCTGCCCCCAGTGACAGTACTGACGCGCCACATGTCGTGTAATTCCCACGAACATTTTCTAACTTGAATATGCGTCCGATTCCGCCGATTGAACCATCTTGAGAGATGGTATCTTCCATCCTCACTGCTGATTCATTTTCGGTCATCCGCATCTAGAGTCAACTTCCTGTTACTTTGCCCACAGCTCAACAATAGTAGGTAATTGTTACACTAATTATCAGCGGTGACGATGAACCTACGATCTATAACGACCCAGAATACGGTGCCCAAGGTATAATAGTGCCAAACATTGTGACGAATGCGGGCGGTGCTTGCTTTACTAGGCCAGGTAGCGGAACGATTAAACCAAGCACTGAGAGAAAGAAGAAGACGACTTGATCTCAATTACTTCCCGGCACTCGCATGTTCGCACTGAGAGAAAGCTCAATAAAAAACGGTCGTAAAATTTTATCGAGGA